GGGATTGCCTCTCCATTGTATTGCTCAGTTCATACCAGAAGGACCCTACTGGCAATAAAGCCAAAAAAACAAAAATTCATGGATAACTAACTTTTTTCATTATCATCGAAATCTTCCAAAAAACCAATATCGATTTTTCTGGCCTAGTACTTCAAGTTGTTAGATCTACATTATTTAGTGTAATTTGTACATATTTTTAATAATCCGTGGTTAAAGAGCAGTGGCGTATCTAGAGAAGCCTTGAAATGGGGGTGCTGATGGGGAGAGTGGAGGTGAAGCTGTCTCTTATACACATCTATCGATCAGTTGAGGCTCGCTAATTCCCAAAAAAGGGTGATTTTTAACTAATTGACCATGATTTTTCTGGGGGCGACGGGGGGTACGTGTAATTTTTGGAAGGCCGTGCCCCCCCCCATTTTCGTTCACACATTACTCTCCATAACACAGCACCCCCTAGTTCCGTCACCTCTGGATACACCACTGTTAAAGAGCGAGTAGGCAGAATGGACCTTTCCACTAAGCCCCACCTTTTTGATATTGTTGCCAATGTTCTATAAAGGATATACATGATATAAACATTGAACTTATGCGAACATGTGCGTTTGTGAAAAAACTTGTGTTTGGTATGGCACACATGTATTTCTCAAATTATTATCCTGTTTATGCAGCAAAAGCATGAAAGAATATGCAGGAAACTCCAAGGCAAGACCAGAAAGGTGTTCAACTCAGGGAAGCAGAGAGCTAGGGACAGTGATGTGCCAATGGACAAAATCATCAAGTCTAAACCAGTTGAAAAAAAAAAGGTTTTGATTCTAGATTGTATTACTTCCTCGCATATTTTATATTCCACACATTTCTGTAAATTTAAGGGAATATTGATTTGTTAATTGATTTGTAAAATTTTCTCCTAGATTCCAAGGAATCAGTGCAGCTGTGGTTTAAGTTTTAAGGTGCCAGCCTTGTGATCCTAAATTCCTGGGTTTAGATCTTGTAAATACCACAAATTAAAGATTATAATAATATTTAAAAATACATATTAACAAAACCTATAATGGACCCAATGCAAATTCTGAGTATGCTAACGCTGTTGCTCATTCTCACTGCATTATTCCAATTTTTTTTTTTTTTGTATTGGGAGGGCTGTTTATTTGTAAATTTTATAATTCTAATTTTTATGCCGTTCAGTTCAGTATTTATTTCACCAATTAATAATGAAGATGCAAATGAAACAATATCAAGAATGGTGGGAGACCAATATGAGCTAATTTCTTAACAAGAAATTTGTCATTGAAGTAAATTTCAATAAAAAAAAAAAAAAATTACAGACAAAGACAAACAACGACGGCTCAGAACAAACAATATACAGGCAAGGCAGTATAGAAAACAAAATGCTGCAAGAATGAAAATGAATAACTTAAACTTATAAGGAATACAATAGGCATATAACTATAATTATAAATGAAAATATGCAAATACATACAGAGCCATTTCTCCATAGACTCCCAAAAAGAGTCTATGGATATATATATATTTTATTTATTTCTTTAAATAATTTTTTTTATTCATTTGTAACCCACGCCTTGGTGTGGTTTACCCTTAGGAAAACACAGTATGCCAGGAAGGGTCCCATTACAAATGATGAATACTATGTTGACTATGTTGTTCTAATCAGGAAGTGTTGTTAAACTATGGTGTAGCCATGAAATAATGCCTTCATCGTTAACAAAATCAACCAGCTATTCTGGTCCAGAAAAACCACATATTTTTGTCAGCACTCAATAAACCTTTACTTCCAATCTGAATTTCTTATTTCAAAATTCTTTTTGGTTTTTGGATTTTTTTTTTTTTTTTTTTTTTTTAGCTGCTGTTTTTTTTTTAGCAGCTGTTGCCAATTTTTTTAAATTTTTTTTTTCTCTGACATTTTTTTTTCATTGTTTGCTTTCATAGCTAACCATATCTCAATGGTCTTAGTCTTTGTGTTTGATAATTTACATTTTTTAAGAAGCAGCATGATAAACAAGTATTATACTGTACTGTACCTTATCTTTTACTGTACTGTATCTTTCACTTTTTATTTATTTATTTATTTTTTTTCCCTATACAGACAAACCCAATTAAAATGACAAACTGGAGGGAGAAACATCTGGATTTCATCAACTCAATACGTTCTGCCCGACAGGTAGACCGTGCTTTGAAGACAGGTGGACCACTGCCACCCCCTCCACCACCCTCAATAAATCCAGGTAAGATTTATTACATTAACATTTATCAAAGTTTGTATATATGCTGTAGTCACTAGTAGGGTGGACTTCTTTCAAAATATATTATAAGGAATTGGCAGGCACAAATCCTCTCTACACCATCTTCGCTAAATTTGAAATGAAAACATGTATTAAAGTTTGAATCTATACTGTATGTAGTGACCATAGGGTGGACTTCTTTGGAATATAAAGAATTGGAAAGCACAAATCTACTCTACACCATCTTCACTAAAAATTTTAAATTAAAATTTCCAAAAAATGAAAAAAAAAAAAAAAAAGTTAAAAAGAAAATAGGTGTGCATTAAACCTGCAGTGTTTTTGGTTGTTGAAGTACTTAAAAAAAAATATGTGTCTGGAAAAACTAAATTTTCTCAGGCTAGGCTGCTGGATATACCCCAGTGAAAAGTTGTGAGATGTTGGTGGCGCTTTTTCAAAATAGACCCAATAGATTTAATGGTGTATAGAATAAGGCTCGAGTTTAATAATGAACATTTTTGCAGTCACCCCACCTCTTTTTACACTCACACTTTGGTTACCAAAACACATTATATCCTTGCTTTCTTGTATTTTTCATTTTACGTATAATTACAATGTGAAACATGAGAACGAGGTAAAAAAATTCACAGAATACCAAATTCCGTCACAGGTAAAGATTTAACTATATAAAAGATATGATAAATGAGAATCAGTCATTTTTAAATTAGTATTTTTACTCATATGACATACAGATTACCTCAGTAAAATATTATTGTAAGTATAAAATGTACCATAAATATAAATAAGTGATATACAGTATAATAGATATTTACTCAACACATTTACATAAAACACCATACAGTAGATAGATGAAAATCAGCAGAATGTTAATTTATAATTTTAAGTTCGTAATATTTCAGATTATATTCAGTGCCCGCATTGCAGCCGTAGATTCAATCAGAAAGCTGGCGAAAGACACATTCCCTTCTGCGCCACAAGATCCAAAACATATGGCAGCCCTGTTAAACCGCTCAACAAAAGTGCCGGTGCTGATGTTGGTTATAGCTCTACAGGAATACGAAAATCTGTAAGCAGTATTTTGCATCATATTTTAGTCTGTCTTTATTAGAAAGTGGATTTATATATATATATATATACTCTCCTAACTAACTCATAGAGTGAGAAATCCTTTGTATGTATTTCTCTTTAACGTCGTTAAAATTTCCCCTTAGCGGCAGTATTTTCGCCTTATTGAAAAAAAAATGGCATATTAAAAAATCTTCTACCACATGAACTAAATTTCGTGAAATATATAATTGACACTGGCATACATTATTTGTTTGTCAGAAATACTGTAATTTGGCTACGTAAGATACATATTTCACTGGAAAAACTGGAGTTAATGCCTAACTTCAGATTTTTCACGCACCATTGACTCCTGTTAAAATTTGGAATAGTGCATTATCTCTATTTAAATAGGGTTAAAGAACAAAAATCACCATGAAAATTATTTAATATGTTTTTTAATTATATGTTTAGTATATTTGCCAAAAAAATTTACTAGAATTCATTTCCAGTACAAAAGGCTAACGACAAACGCGTTTTGCTCAATAACTCAAAACTAGGATTTTGGAGTTAATGCCTTTTTCCAAATCACGGCAGAACTCATAGAGTGAGAAATCCTTTGTATGTATTTCTCTTTAACGTCGTTAAAATTTCCCCTTAGCGGCAGTATTTTCGCCTTAAATTAAATTATTCCTTTCCATTGTTATCATTTCCCCCTATGGTAGTATATACAGGTAGTCGTATATATATACATATATATCAAAATAAATTATTTAAAGGCAAGGAAAAAATTGTGTGTTATGTCTATGTCAGGTAGTAGGCATATACTCTATACAAGTCCCTCCAAAATTAAGACCACTTTTGTGACTGGAGTTTCCATGGTCTTTAGCAGCTTTGGTCTTAAAAAAGATAAAAGAAAAAAGAATAATGGTAAATTTGGGGCCACAGAAAAGTGGTCTTTAATTGGAGGTGGTCTTTAATTAAGAGGAGACCAGTATTTCACTAATTGTAATTATTTGTTGACAGTATGACAGCAGTGTTGTGCGTAGAAAGCCAAATGTTGGCTCATCCAATTATGGACTTAATTATGAAGACCAACATTTCGCAGCAATGCAGGAAAGAAGTCGAACAAATATTGGATTTCGTGACAGTAAGTTACTTGGCATTCAGTCCCAGGGTCCTTGGTTGAAATGCTGCATTTTTCATTAAGTGGAGAGCTTGGTAGTTAAAGCAGTATGGTTGCCTTTTAATACCATAGTCTTAGGTTCAAGTCCTGCATTGTTGAGGAGTTGTAGGTTGGTGGTTATAATGTGCTTGCCTTCCAACCCCAACCCCAGGGGTGGATTGCAATAAAACGGTCTTAAACAGGTAGTCTGAACGAGTCGATCACCGCCATTTAATCACATAGACTGTCTTACGATAGTTGCCCCTTTAAGATCATTGCTATCAAACAGTCTTAATTAAAACCACATCAAGTATTGAAAATGAACAATCACCCCATAGCAACTGTGCTTTTTGATCGCTCATATGTTTATTTGTTGGCCTTCAAACTTAATAGTTAAAACATTCATTTTGTCACGCATATGCCCGCGTAAAATCTCATTTGCAAACAAAGGCTTTTATTATTATAGAATGACAAAATCTAAATGTAAACAGAAAACAATTGAAGAAAGCTACATCTATTGATTGAGAGAAATATTATAACCTGCTTGTAGACCACGGTATAGTAATAGTCTATAATTATAGGTCAGCATCTATATCACTATGACTTACTAAGCGTTAAGACTGTGTATAGAGTGTTTTTAACCATGGTTTAGCAATCCGCTCCAGGTTGCCCTTAGCTCAAACCTGGATAATTTGTCATAAAAATAGTCTCAAAGAACTTCTAGGAAAGCATCAATTTAAGTGGTGAGTTAGTTGGATGAGAGTGAAGGGTCAACAATTATATAAACTAGCATATGCCCGTGCTCTGCATGGTGTTGAATGAATGGGGAAAGGTGGCCGCTGTATATAGTTGAATGGGAATCATTAGTGGATCTTGATGTCGGACCCCTGTCTCTTATACACATCTAGACCTTAGGCAAAAAAAGATTCATTAAAAAGAGAAAAAGAAAAAATCAGGGACCCCGAGCTATAATTTTTGCGTTACAAGAGAAGTCAGAAAAGCTTATTTCCCGCCATGAAGAAATCAAAGTTTTTCCTGGGGATGACCCAGACCCCTCTGTCATTTTGGGTTTATCGATTCATGGAAAGAAGAATACGTATGTAACTACTCAATTTTTTTCTGTATGTATACCGGTACACACATGATTACTGTAATAAGAATCATAAAAGTTTACCCGAGGGAAAAACCTTGAATTTTGAAGAACTTAAAAGTCGTTAAAAGACACCTCAAAAGTTAAGAATGCTCATATCCCAATGTTTAGGAATCAAAATTTTCCCGTATGTATATGTATCGTAGTAAATCTATCTTCTATGAAATAAGTTGTTAACTCCAACGTGTTCGTTGATTGAATGCGGTGTTGCGGTATGTGTGCATGTGGGACTTGTAACATGCATATCAGGTTGGGTACATGGCACAATGACGTCACAACGGTTATGAGATTTAGAAGTAATCAGGAATAAAATGTGTTAATTTTGCCAAAAAACACATGCCCTGTTGGTGGTAGCTACAGCATGTGTGAAAATCATAATTGTACTTGAAATACTTCAGGAGATATTTGGTGGACAGAGAAAAACACAAAACATTATTTTACAGTATAGATGTTATCTTATTGTTTTTACAGATACTTTTAATAATAAGCCAACAAATCGTTACAATCCACCCGTTAATCAGCGATTTGGACAAGGAAATAGAAGAGCCAAAAGTGCTAAATTCAACCAGCGTGTCAGGTTTGTCAACTTGTGTGGTAATTCACGTAAACTTCTGCAAACATTAGTGATCTATACTCATAATAGTAATCCTTACTCATAATGGGAACCCCGGCCCGTATGTTATCATTTCTATTATAAATCTGACAATAGTCTAAAGTATATTATTAGGCCACAAATCATGCAATTTGGTCACACTAATGACCTGTTTCACACAGCAGAAATGTACTAAAGTATTTATTTATGTTGAACCAAGGATATTTTTCCTATCTCAAATGTTTTGGTCATGAAAATGTTTAACCTCGAAATGAGCAGTTAGCTGAGTTGGCTAAACTGTGTGTGCGCTGAACCGTGGAGATCTCTTGGTCCCCGGTTCAATTCCCATCGCTGCTCTCTTTGTATTTCAGCTGGAGGGCAAGTTACCATGGCATACCGTCTTTTGGACGAGACGTTTAAGCCGTTGGTCCCATGTGCAATATGGCCCATGTGCACGTTAAAGAAATGTAGTACACACTTCGGAAAAGAGTAGAGGAATTGTCTCCTGTTGTACTGCCCAATCACCACCAGAAGGACCCCTTTGGAAATTCATTCATTCATTCATTCATTCTTTCTGGTTTTTATTAAAAAATTAGACATTGCAGTACAAAACTGAATTGAGTCAATTTACAAAATTTATAAAATCAATCATTAAAAGGCACATATAAAAATACATTATATATACATCCACATATACATCAAAAAAAAAAAAAAAAAAATCGCGAAAAAAAAGATCGCGAGAAAAACAAAAAAGAACAATGGTCACAAAATCTTCAAGGGTTTTAGACATTAATTTATTTTGATTAAGAAAAAGGAGCAATATTGCAGGATTAACATAATTATTTTATCAAGTTCTGAGAAAAAGATGAGTGAAGTTCACAATGTCATAATTGAAATAAGTCTTCTTCAGACTTTTGTTGGTTATCCTTGGTGTTTACACCGAATCCATTCATTCATAAAATCCATCTCTTTTCACATCTCATTGAAAAAAACAAACCAAAGGAGGGAGGCTTGTAAAGTTTCCAAGAATTTTAGCAAGGATCTGCCAGTGGGTAATGTAACAGGGCAAGCTTACCTTTAACTTTGGTATCGCGCATTTCTTCACTGTCTGCTTATTAATTGTAGCGACATTAGCAGAGTCTGCATGTTGTCCAGTGACGTAACAAACAGGCCTGAGGCCCTGGCTAAGGGTTTTCCGGTTCTTCTACCCCGGGGGTTCAGGGAGCACCCAGTGGGTTATGGCTGACATTCAAGTGTGTATTTGATGTTGTTTTACAGTTTTTGCTGGTTCTGGCAAAAAATGCCAAATAAATATATCCCAGGGCCCCTAAAGGCTCTGGGCCCCTGGCTTGGCCAGTGAGAGCTCATAGCTGTTATGCCAGTGATGTAAAAGTATGAAAGCGAAGGATCTTAGTAGGGAAATATTGGAACGTTCAGTACATCTCTTTGTTTGCGGTCTCTTTGTATAGATTTGTGGTTTGATTTTTGATTTTCTTTTACTGTTGTTAATCATAATGTGACCACTTTATGTGTTGGGCTTTAGTCATGGCCTTTGGTCAATATACATTTTAAATGTATTGTGATGAATTTGTATTAAATGAATGAATGAATTAATGAATAAATAGAAATAAATAAAAATAAATAGATATAAATAAATAGATTAATTAATTACTTTATTTATTTATTTGTATTTATATTATTAGTAAATTAGTAATGTAATATGGTAAATGAATATTTACTTTAATCAATGTATAAATATTATTTAATAACACATTACCTTTTACTCACATCTAGGTTTGCTGATAATGCTGATGCTGATGATAATAATAACAGAAATAGCTTTAAAGCACCAGTACATGGTCACAGTTACCCTTCGCATGGACCTCCGGCCTATTCGGCCATAGGTAGTGGTGATGATAGAAGTAGGTATGGTAGCCAAGGCTCTTACCGTACCACGAAAGCAAGTCAGCTTCGTAGCATGAGTAGAAATGGACAGAATCGTCTCGGCGATGCAAGTACAGTGGATGGTCAGAATCCAAGCTATGAAACGTTAGTTCACCTCATTGGCCATGATTTGGTTAGGCCTAATTCTAATGTTCATTGCCAACCATTAATTTATCTATAAATATTGGTTGGTAAAATGATAAGTACAGGCCTAAAATTCATGGTTAAGCTATAAATTTTATTAACCCATAAAAAACGGCCCTTTACAAACCTTTTATAAGTTTCCGGGCCTCTCCTGCTTAAATAGATGAATATGTATATATACGCTAGTGTTTTATTGGCATACTGTAGAGTGAAATCAATTGTCTCTGATTGGATTCAAACTTCCAACAGAAGGGTCAATGGCCCAGTTGATTACGTCTTCTTATATAT